TTCTTTAAAAAAATATGTACAATTTACATAGTAAATAATTTACATTGTGAAGGCATTGCAGGCATGCAGCTGACTAGACAGATGTGTTGTAATATACTGTAGTACGTTGGTACGGAGCGGCAGATCCCTGCAGCGCGCCCATCTCACGGTATTGTCACGTCCCAACTGCGCGAAAGAGGAAAAAAAAGAATACAGGTAATTACGATGATATAATACACGTTATCAAGTGCCTAAGTATTATCACGATACTCACCTAGACCATCATCTCCATTTCCATTTCCGACAAAGTGAGTCGTGAAGTGGACATGGTGACGCCGCTGTCACTGGACGCGCTCTGAACACTCGAGTGGTCGTCGGTGTCGCTCTGGGTGCTCGTGTACCCGATCACGTCCACCTCATCTAGAAGGACAATACAGACAAGTTAGGCGCCACTCTCGTACCGGACTAGACAATGGGCGATGGTGGTAACGGCCCGCTCACCTGACTCTGAGATGGACGAGACGGATGACGAGACTGACGAGGTGCTCGATACCGTGGACGTGGAGCACTCGCTGACGGACCGCCGCTTGGACACGTTCTGGGGCTGCATGCCGCCCATAGCGAGCGCAGTGGCGTACGACCCGCCAAGCTGTTCCAAGCGCCGCCCCAGGTAGCGCTGTTCCCGCCGCAGCTGGTCCTTGTGCGACGAGTTCTTTCGCTCCTGACGTTCCAGGGTCTGGAAAACAGCAACCGTCAGTACAGCACTGGAAGGCCCTAGACGGACGACCGGGACCCTCCCTAGGCTGTCCCGCGCGACAGGGGCGCGCGGCGGGTCTGCCTACCTCGACCTCGCCAGGCGCCGGGTCGCCCGGGTCGGGTCGGGACCGACCGTTGGTCACCGACCTCGACTCACTCACCTTTATAAAACTTTTCGCTTTGGTAAGCAGCCCGAGCGTTGTGTGTCGGGCCGAGTCGTGGCCGAGAGGCACGATTTCTTTGAGTTTCTCGAGGCAATTCCTCAAATGCGCCCTCCTGCAACAGAGAAGAGAAAACACGATAAGTCGGGCGCACTAGAAGTGCCTACATCGACGACACCTTCCTCACAATTTCTAGCAGTATCCCTTTACTACAGTGGCCGCCCTGTTTGGCCAGTGCCACTGCTCTGCTCTGTACAGTGCCCATGTCTAGTGGCTCAGGGGAAAGGGAAGGGGGGGGGGGTATACGCCTCGACGTGGAGCAAAGTGGCGAGAAGCAGCAACTTTTTCGGAGGCAGCGTTGTTGCAAAGCTCAGCCCCCCCCCCCCCCCCCTCTCTCTCGCCCCGAGCCGCACAAGGCAACGTGACCGGTTTGTTCTGTTTCCTTGGATTCGTTTTGTTTCCGCTGCATACTGTTCTGCAAGAGCGCAGCGACAACGCCCGCCCCGGCCGGCCACAGGACCAGCCCAGGCCCAGGCCCTCCAGGGTCACAACAAGCAAGCGACCAGTGGCGTAGCTGGAGCGCGGCTGCGCCTGGGGCTCGCCGCGCTGCAGACCCCTTTTTGGTCAGTGGGCTACACCACCACGGCGACTGGCGCCCGACGTGCGGTCGTGGCGCTACCCACCGCACACACGACCCGCACCGGGCGACTGCAGCCCGAATAGAGTTAGGGGACCCACTAGAGTGGCTGGGCCGCAGTGGCCGTCGATCCGTCGATTGAGGCGGAGAAGGAGAAGATCGGGTTAGGAAGGTGAAGAGCATGAGCTTGCCGCGGGTGGCGGCAGAGGGTGAGGGCCCGGGAGGTGGAGCGCCCCCGGCCCGCCCCCGGTATTCATGTTGACATTGCCGCGGAGCGTCGGACACGTCGCAAAAGCGCTGTCGATGACGGAGGCCCGTGGTTGGCCCCCGGCCCGGCGACACTGTTGCCAACCCTCTCTCCCTCTCTCTCTCACTCACGCTCGCACGCCAGCTTTGCCCCTGCTTTTGACCGGCTTGCTGCTCCGCGCAACGCCCGGCCCGGCCCCCGGCCCGGCCGCTCGATACTCGCGAGTCGAGCCGCGCCGCGCCGAGCCCAGCCTAGCCCGGCCCGGGCCCGACCGCCACCGCCCAAGCCCCTCTCACTCCCCGCACCTTCGGTAAGCCCTTCCCTCCCCCCGTCTTCGTCTTTCTCTTTCTCTCTCTCTCTCTCTAGAAGTGCACGGCGAAACTAATGCGCGCAACAGTTCCAACAACAGAATAATGCGCGCAGTGAGATCTCAGAGATCACGACCGCGCCGTGCCCTGCGGACCCTGCAGGCGCCGCACACCGTGCGCACGGCCCCGGCCGCCGCGCAGCGACCAGAAATGAGAACAGCCGACCCCGGGCAAGAAGCGCCGCAGTCTGATTTGGGCCGCGTGTTGTTTGCTTTGGATGCGCGGAGGACGCGTGCTGCTGCAGTGGTTGAGGGGGCGGGGGCCCCGCTGCTGCCCCCCGACCCCGACCCCTCTCCTTCTCTTCCGCCAAGGAAATTACAACCCCATCCGTAGCTCTAGAGACCCCGCGCGCCGTCCTTTTGAAATACCGAGACAAGCGGTGCAGAGACATAACTCCACAGACAGTCTTGCGGAGCCGCCGCCGCCGTCGCGCCATGCTCGTGCGTCCGTAAGGCCGCCACCGTCCGTCCGTCCTCCCGTCGCACCCACAGGCAGCAGCGGCGGAGGAGAGACGGTGGAGAGAAGTGACTGGGAGAGAGAAAGGAGAGTAAGAGCGAGCGAGCGAGGGTGCGGCTGCTGCAGTGCGCGCGCTTGCTCCAGGAGGGGCCGCGTGGAAGCCACCGCACTGCGAGCGAGGTCTGACCACGGGGGGGCCGAGCCGACCGGGCCATAGCACACCGCCACCACCCCGGCCCCGCCCAGGGACCTCCACGTCACCGCCCACCACTCACTCACCCTGCCATGCGTGCACATTGATATAGTGGCGAGGGGTGAGTGTTCCGGGCGGGTGGCGCAGCGCGGCGCAGCCGACGTGGAGGGAGGGGAGAGAATCTTGGCTGGCGTCAGTTCGCATAAAAGAGAGAGAGAAAGAAAGACGGAGGATCCGCGCACGTATTTGCGTAGGCCAGGGCGTTCGTCCGAGTAGCGCCCCGCGCGAGAGGGGGGGGGGGGGCGCCCTTCACCCTCAGAGTTGTTTGTTTGCGTGGGGCCCTCTCAGTGCCGCTACGACGCTCGCCAGGGTGGAAAAAAACGGCGCGAGAAAGGTGCAGAGATAAAAAGGATACACGACAATGCTGATACGCCGCACTATTCCGCCGCAAACATGATTTTGGAATCATCGTGGAGCTATGACATTGTTTTTTCCTGAATTTTTGACATTCTGAAAGCGTGCCGTGGAAAAGAAAGAGTTGCGAGGAGGGGGGGGGGGCTATTGACACATCGGGCGCCGAACCGAAAGCCGCCTGCTGCGCCCGCCTGTCTGCCTGCCTCTCTGGCGGAGAGCGCTGCGCGGCAATGACTTGCAGCCCGACACGGGAGGCGCCACGCCGCGCCACGCCGCTGACCTACCGTAACGTGACGTGACGACAACGCTAGGTGTGTTATCGCTATCCCACTCAGCGACATGAGTGGCCCACCTGAAACAACACGGCGGCGGCGGCGGCAGGCCGAGTCGAGACAAAAGGCAAATCGGGCCGAAAACAGAACTAACAGGCAGGGCCCCGGGCCCGGCCAAGCGCACCCCGCGCGCCAGCTGAGCCCACCGCGACAGTTATTGTGTGAACACGGTGCGAGTCGGAAACCATGACCTTCCCGCTACAAACACAAACACACAGGCGAGCGAGCGCTCCCGCAAAGGTGACGAAGGATATGACGAGCCGGAAGGGGGGAGGTAGAGCAGAGCGTCACACGACGGCGACCCCCGCGCGGCCGGCGACAAGGGTAACGCTATACAAGCGCCGCAAAGGGCCACGCGGGGGTGGGAGGGGGTGGCGCGGTGCAGAGGGGCGGCGGGCGGGCTCTACGGGCGCAAGCGAGTAGCAGCAGCAGCAGCCATCGACAAGGCGAGCCGACCGAGCGACCGACAGAGGGGTTCAGCAGCAGGCAGGCGCGGCGCCGAAGCCAGACAAGTGACACTTTTGGGTGTAAAGGGCGCAGGGCTCCGCAAGGGCCCCGGCGGCGGC